ATATTCTGCAGATAAAAATAAGTAAAAACGTTCGTATAAATGTATGTCCTAAGATGCTTAGTTTTGAAGATTCAGGGTGTAGAAGTTTCATTTTAATTTCGATTTTTTACAAATAATTTCTGAAATAACGTCAATATTTGGATGAAATTTTTTGTCTGGGAGTTTTTTGGAAATCGTAAATTTGAAAGGATTTTGTGTCCGAAGTTGTTCAACAGAAATTGTTTTATCATCATTTTTTCGAAAAAAAGTTTATGATTAATCTAAAAAATAAAAAAATTTCCAAATTTGTTATTTCAGTCAAATAACTATCTACCCAACATGTTTATTTTTTGTCAATAATGACATGTACTGATTATTTGCATTCTAAATATCTTGAGAACGGTTACTTGTAGCGATTTTTACCAAGAAACATTTTTTACGTAAAAATTTACGGTAATGTATATTTTTTCACTCAGTAGTTTTATACAGGTACGGACAAAAAATGATTACCCTTCAAACAGTTAAAACACATGTAGGTGGCGCCCCCTACAAATGGGAGTCATATTAACATCAAAATCAAATTTCTCATGTCAAAAAAATCCCAGACACCAATTTTCATCCAAATATTGACATTACTTCAGAAATTATTTGAAATAAAAATTAAACTTCTACGTCCTGTATCTCCGAAACTACGCAATATATACCGAACCGAACCGCAATTTATACAGAACATGCAACCAAAGTTTTCGGATCACCCTGTATACAAGCAAGAAATAATAAAAACAACTAATTCTGAATTTAAAAGCTATTCAACAACTGTCATATATTTTCGTTGGCGGGGTAACAACTGTCCTGAAATCAGAACTATATTAGGTATTTACTTTAGATGGTCTGCACTTACTTTTATTTGCTATGAATATGCATATCGTCGGTGAAATGTGATAAACTGCTAACTCCATTATTCCTAATTTTACAAGAGAGCATAAAAACGGTACAAAAAAATATGTACACCTGTAGGAAGTATTTTCATGCGTTAATATGATAAAGAAATAAGAACTTTATTTGCTTGTGAAGAATAAAACTCAATATTTGGTGTTACATAATTTTTTTCAGACACAATAGGGAGATAGCAGCTATTCGTCTTGCAGAAATAAGAAATAAAAATATACTTCTGGAGATAGCAACCTTTATTGTTTGAAATTTTGAAATAATCAATTAAATTTAAAAAATATGATATTCATAATCATATATTTATAATATCGTCGGTCTAGAAGCAAAACCTACAAGTCCAAAAACGAATAAATTTTTAATGCATTTTTAAAGAACTGAAGAAAAACAGTATTTTGGACTTAATGAATATGAAAATAATTTCAAAATTAAACTTATAATTCTTAGTATATATGGCAGAATCCTTCCATGCTTATCCTAAATTTTATACAACGGTAGTAGACCGAGCTTGGAAAACAGTGCGTGATTCTATTAAATTTTTATTACTTCTCTCCTTATTTTTTTAATTTTTATAAAAATTATGTATCATTTACGTGGAAAAACGTTGAAAAAAATAAAACTGATTAGGTATTATGGAAATTCTTGTACATGTAAGTACTGTTATTTAAACTATTTATAGCGCGCTGATGAATTGCTCGTATATAGAAAATTTCGTTTTTCCCCTTACCCTTTACGGATACCCCGTATTTACAGAACGGATCGAAGCATGGTCGGATTGGCCATATTATATACAGGGTCCGGCAATAGTGCGTCAGGCATCTGTAGCTCCTAGAATAAAAAACTTGAGAATTTTGTTTAAGTGCAAACCTAAAGTATATACCAGGATGTATTTCAGGAAAATATTTTAACTTCTATAGGGTGGCTCAAAAAAGTGTGAGTGGACCTGGATGATTTTTTTTAAATGGAACACCCTGTATATAATTGCATTTTTGGCTTCCTTTCAGATCACTTTACATAACCCTAAGATAAGAATAAATATATTTCGATAGTTTCAGAGATATTAAAAAATAAATAAAAAATATGTATTATTCAGCCCTTCTTAAAAAAAATATTAAAAATACAAGAACTGTTCTGAAATCAAAACTATATTAGGTATTTACTTTAGATAGTCTGTTCTTAGTATGTTATAAATATGATAATCGTATATCATACAGGATGTTCAATATTCTACGCCAAACTTTCTAAAATATAAAATAATTTTTCTTTGTTATTTTAAACGGAACACCCTGTATATTATTTTTTTATTAGATGGAGAGTTAAAAAATGAACATTTTTTTGTATTTAGAGTATTTCAAAATTTTGAACGGTTTCGCAGATACGCGCAGTATTATTTCATATGGCGCTTTCAATGGTAAAATACGAGAGAAAAATCATTGGGTGGCTTTGATAAAAATTTACTGTGGAAAATTCCATATGAAATATAAAACCGCAAATATCTGCGAAACCGTTAAAAATTTTGAAATACTCTAAATACAAAAAATGTTCATTTTTTAATTCTCCGTCTATTGAAAAAATAATATACAGGGTGTTCCATTTAAAAAAACGAGGAAAAATTATTTTATATTATAGAAAGTTTGGCGCAGAATTTTGAACATTCTGTATAATTTACGATTTTCATATTTATAGCAAAGTAAGTACAGACCATCTAAAGTAAATACCTAATATAGTTTTGATTTCAGGACAGTTCTTGTATTTTTAATAATTTTTTTAAGAAGGGCTGAAAAATATATATTTTTGATTTATTTTTTAATATCTCTGACACTATCAAAATATATTTATTCATATCTTAAGATTATGTAAAGTGATCTGAAAGGAAGCTAAAAATGCAATAATATACAGGGTGTTCCATTAAAAAAAAATCATCAAGGTCCACTCACACTTTTTTGAGCCACCCTATAGAAGTTAAAATATTTTCTTGAAATACATCCGGGCACATACTTTAGGTTCGCACTTAAAACAAAATTCTTAAGTTTTTTATTCTAGGAGCTACAGATGCCCGACTCACTATTGAAGGACCCTGTATATAACTATTAGGAAGGCACCCATTTGCATTGCATTGGTTTACCTTGCATTAGGGTAGTTCCCTGATTTCTATACAGGGTGAGTCTTAAATAAGTGTAATATTTTCAGGGCTGGTAAACCTCGATACAAGAAACATAATACTTTCTCTTTACGTTTTTTTCAAATAAATCCAAAAAACCGAGTTATTTCACTTTTAAAATTTTCAATTTTTTGCTATAATTTTGAGAATCATTGGATTTTTTTTCTTGTAAATTTAATCTACTATCTATGTTGCCATATTACAAACAAAGTATGTTTTTAAACTAAAAATTAAAAAAATTTCCAATTTTTTTTTTAATTCCAAATTTTTAAAAAAAAAATTTCGCGCAAAAAAACTAATAATCGTGTTTCTTGGGTCAAAATATACTACCACTAAAAATATTTGCACTTTTTAAGACTCACCCTATAAATAATAGAGAAAAATTGACCAAAACGTAAGGCGAAAAAATACGCAAAAAAATCCACACGGGTCCCTCTTTACATTACCACCCAGGCCCCTTTGGCCTAGTGCGACCCTGGATCGACGTATTGTACTAAAGAAACATACGAGTAAGAATCTGTGTATTTGCTTTAGCGTGATCGTAACGGAAATTACGGAGATAGCAGCATTTCGGTGGCTATTTCAGATCACTTGGAGTTAGCAAATATTATTGAGTTAAAATAGTAAATTTTCTTTAATGGGAAAAAATGTATTTGCTTTCCCTACTTGTAGAGTATTTTTCTCTTTCTAATGGTATAAAAAAACTTATTAACGTAAAAAATGGAGTTAGCAGGTTATCACGTTTCATTGACGATATGGTAATTGTAAATCATACAGGATGTTCAAAATTCTACGCCAAACTTTCTAAAATATAAAATAATTTTTCTTCGTTTTTCTAAATTGAACACGAAATATTTTCCTGTATATTATTTTTCAATAGATGTAGAATTAAAAAATGTACTTTTTGGTATTTAGAGAATTTCAAAATTTTCAACGGTTTCGAAGAATATATAACTATATATAGAATATAAAACCGCGAAGGTTTTATATTTCATATGGCATTTTCCACAGTAAATTTTTATCAAAGCCACTCAATGATTTCTCTCTCTTATTTTACCGTTGAAAGAGCCATATGAAATAATACTGCGTGTATCTGCGAAACCATTAAATACATGAAATGTTCATTTTTTAACTTTTCATCTAGTAAAATAATAATAACCCTGTATATTATTTTTCCATTTAAAAAAGAAAGAAAAAATATTTTATATTTTAGAAAGTTTGGTGTAGAATTTTGAACACCCCGTATGATTTAAGATTACGGTATTTATTGCAAAGTATATATATGTTAGGGTTAAAGTCCGATGTCCGGTTAAATGTCGACATTAACAAAAAAAAAGAAAAAGTCACTCTGACCAATTTGAAAATAATTTTCAAATTGGCCAGATGTCATTTTCTAATGAATAAAGTAAAAAAATACCGAGGGTGCCATTGAAAATCAAAAGTTGTAGTCATTTCCGGTGAAACAGTGTCCGAAAAGAATTGAATACGTCAATCAATCTTATATGTCATATACTAACATACCAAATCCCGTTTTTTTTTTATCTGAAAAAATAAAAAAGTTACAGGAGTGAGCGACTTTTGTGACGCATCCGGTATACATATTTCATTGGAAAAAGTTTCAGTCGGATCAAAACTTTCATGATCATAACGGGAATAAATTTTAAAGAACTTTAAATAGTAAACGTAAGAATACAAAAGAAGAATTTTATTCTAAAATTGGAAAATCTTTTGAAAGGTTTTTTGGAAGACTTAATTTACGGAAAGATCATTTTACTTTTAATAAACGAGAAAAGTTATAGTAGAATGTAAAACAGCCTCAGATAAATAAAATGAATTGGAAAACTTTTCAGGAATGCCTTAAATTACTGCTTATTTTCTAGAAAAGAACGGAATAAAATAAAACTCTTTTATGAACTCATAAAATATTTTTTCTATTTTTATCTTCTTTCACGTTTGACCTTAACAATATTTTACATTTTTTATGGTTTTGGCATAACTATTATCGACGAAATAATATTTTTAATCTGCGGAAAGTCTTCGGTAAGCGCTGTTCAGCTGTTCCAAAAATACAAATGTCAACACTGTATGGGGTCCTAGACGAAAATAGTAGGGCAAAAAACCCTTCCACAAGGCGAAAATACCTTCGTCCTTTATTATAAGGCCCATTACTTGCACTAATCCTGGTGGTTTGGAGCCATCCGTTGTTTTGCTGTTCTGAATTCGGGTTTTTACGATGTCTACCGGCATACTAGCTATTGTAGTCATTAAACCTAAAGCGGAAAATATAAATTTTAATGAAATGAAATATCTCCTTCAGCTGACATTGTCTTCGTATGGCTTTGTTTAAAATGTTAAAATTAAAGACAATAATTAATAAAATGCAAATTTATACAGGGTAGCGCCTCTCATACGCCGCGGAAGCTCCAAGGAAAACGGTAGTTTATATCGAAATAAAATGTTGGCAGCTTATGTAGGTTAAGTGAAAGCATATTATAAAAATATATAGAATTATACAGGGTGTTCCCAAAAAAAGTTACACATCAAAGTTGTGTTTTTTCCAATGGAACAACACCCTATATATTAATTGATTTTCGGATTCTAGGAAAAAAATAAAGGTGAGTTTTATTAAAGAAACATATACCTAAAAACTAAGGATTTTAACATATTTCACATTTTGTGAAAATGAAGAGTAAATTTTAAATTTCGATAACAGCTACATAAATTTTAGTTGACCTTGTATAGCCTGATATTTAATTACAGTAACCATTGTATGTTAAACCAAATTGAAATTTGACTCGAAAAGTTATACAGGGTGAGACAAAATTAATATGGAACATTAGTCACTTTTAAAAGCAAGTTACTCCTTTATTTTAAATAGAACACCCAGTATATTTTTCCGGTTTTCAATGGGGAATTTATATATCTTCAAAATATTATTAAGGTTGCCTACCCCTCAGACAAAGATTTTCCTAGATATTTTAATTTTTATGATTTTACATCAGTAGATCTTTATTATTTGAAAAAATCTAGGGTGGCTGTGTGATATACTGTGGATATACCTTTTGTTAATTTAACAAAAATTAAAAATTGTAGAGTAAAATACTCAACGGTAATAAAAAGATACACGGTTAAAACATATTTTAATTATTACAGAATTAAAACTAGATATAAACCTATAATTATGTAACAAAAATTAGCTAGATGAAAAATGTTCAAATGCTCAAAATCCTTCTTTTCCTGTTAACTGCATAAAATGATTGTCTCTTCAAAAGGATCTTTTTATTTTAAAAGGCATATGTGTAGTTGTACCTCGAAAAACAGCTATAATAATTTCTCTCATATTGCCGACAACAGTTGGTCGAGTTTTGTAAACACTGTCTTTAACATATCCCCATAAAAAACCAGACTAGCTAAAATCAGGAGCATTTAAGTATTATATTAATTGATATAACTAATAACAAATAGAAACAAAAAAATAACTAATAGAATCATATCAATTCTCTCTGATGTACGATAAGTTTGCATTTTCAGCAAATTTCTGAGAATTTTTTTGTTTTAACTCACACAAAATGATAACTAGTTGTTAAAGTTGGACTAATTTGACAGCTATGTTGAAGTAACGTCAGGCCATATCACAGCCACCTAGGTTTTATCAAATAATAAAGATCTACTCAGATCAAATCATGTATATGAAAATATCTAGGAAAATCTTTGTTTGAGGGGTAGGCAACCTTAATAGTATTTTCAAGAGGCATGAATTCTCCATTGAATATCGGAATAATATACTGGGTGTTCCATTTAAAATAAAAGAGTAACATGCTTTAAAAGGTGACTAATGTTCAATATTAATTTTGTCTTACCCTGTATAACTTTTTGGATCAAGTTTTAATTTGATTTTAAGTACGATAGTTAATTTAACTACATAGTAGGCTATACCGGGTAAATTCCAATTTAGGTAGCTTTTATTGTAATTTAAAAATTATTCTTTATTTCTAGAAAATGTTAAATATGTCAAAAACCTTACATTTTAGTCATATACTTCCCTTATAAAACTCACCTTTATTTTCTCCCAGAATCCAAAAATGAATTAATATATAGGGTTCCATTACAAAAAACACAACTTTGATATGTAACTTCTTTTGGGGAAACCCTGTAAAACCCTCTATATTTTTAAAAAGAAAAGTGCTCGGAATTAACCTACATATCCTCACAAAATTTTATTTCAATACAAACTGTCGTTTTCGTTTGTCGTATGAGAGGCGCCACCCTGTACAACAAATATTTTTGTTTAAAATTGGATTTATACAGGGTGTCCCAGTATTCGGTGGACATAGAACTAGTGCGTATTTTTGGATTCAAAATAAATATGTATATTAGACACAATTTACCTCTATACAAAAGTGCTTAGTTTGTCCGCTAGAGAGCATCAAACTTTGAAAAAATAAAAACATTTTTTAAGATATTTTAAGAACCGTTATACCAACTTGAATGAGATTTATGGTGCCTATGTTTTGCTAAGCGCTTTAACATTGACATAAAAAGTACTGGAAGGGTGAAAACTACCCCCACGCCTACATAAATTTGGGTAGAAATATATTCTGACTCCCCCGATGACTGTTTTTTTTGTAACATAATTCTTCTAGTATTTACGACATTTTTGTTTCTTGCAAAAAACGTCACCGCGCATACATTTTGAGAAAAAAAATCCGAAGCTGACTTAAAAAAATATTTCTTGGCACATCAAGCTTGTAGGCGCATAAAATCTAGTATGCGCTAATAATCTATGGTAATCGCAAAACAATTTTCGATGCGCGTGATCAACTTTGAGTGACAAGCGATGGCGACAGATTGTGATCGGTTTATGAAATGAATCTTAATTTAAAAGTGACAAATTTATTTTTAATTTAATAACTAATATTTTAGTAATTAATTGATTTATTTGTTTTATAGCTTATCTTACTATACTAAGGGCTGGCAAAGGTTAGTTTTGGGTCGAGATTTCCGTATGTAAGAAGAGTACAATGCGTTTATAATGTACTGAACAAAGAGAGAACAGTAAACACGTAGCGAAACGTATGAAATAAATTGAGCAACTGTGCTCTGCACATTGCTAAGAGACGTGGAAGGGGATATAGCAGATTTGTCGCAGTTGACCGGCCGACCCAATCAGTACCTCTGTCAGTACTTAAGTTCTAGGGAAAGGTGTACATCATGCGTTCAGCTGCATGATTTAATTACGTCTCGTAATACTTTATTTGTTTATTTATTAACGAGTTGTTGTAACTTTCCCTATCGCTTGAAAATTTTTAAGTGCAAGCAAGAAACACTTGCATTTTTGGTAAAAATAACTGGAATTGAGTTGGTTTTCGACAGTGGTCGGGCTATTAGAACTCTGAATTCAAAAATCGATATCTCAAAATCTGTTTCTTAATATAATAATAAATAACTTTCTTAATATTTCTGCTGTATTTTCTTCGTAGACAGTAAGTGAAAATCTTTATCAATATAAAAATTACACGATTGCTGAAAATTGCTATGCTCTAAAAGTAAATGGATGGGTTGTTTACAATTTTTGAATGGAAAAAATCAACTTTATCGAATTTTTCTTATGTAAACATATTGTAAAAAATCCTATCTTCAATATAAAAAAAAGTTTCAATATCTAAAGTGCTTCTTGAGCTATGGCGTGTAATGTGTTAAAAAGTTGAGTTTTCTCATTATAAAAAAATGACACCCTAAAGATGTCCTTATAATTCCAGTTCAGATGCTCAGAAACATTTCTAATGATTTTATCTAGTTATCTTCTCGAGAAATAAGTATTTTAAAAATAAGCGGTTTGCGACCGTGATTTTACTTTACTCGATAGGGAAGGCGTACCGGCAACGCCGCAACAGCACTCCGTCGCAATTCTCTCACTCCGACTTAATAAGATCCCTATGCGATTTACTTCCACACATGTAAATACCGACCCAAGAGTAACAGTTGCCAGCACGTATTACATATTGGCAAAAACTAGTCCATTATGAAGATTATTCTAAGCGTTATTATGGGGTTATTTATTGATGTACTTCATACAACGCCATAAGTGGTAATAACAAGTAAGAGGATGGTATTAATGCACAAACTAATAATCACAGAATTTAATAAAAACTAACGTAGAAATAACTTTGAAAGTGGTATAATGTGCTTTCAATCAAACTTACTTCTCCCTCGTTCAAAATAGTTTATCAGGGAAGCTACAAGTTCTTTACTTGGACTGTTTAAATGCTTCGGCATATTTTCAACACATAATTTCATGAAATGCAATACAAAAATTCGAAAATTTAGGTCTTAAAAGAACTGTTTGTGCTTTTAAAGTACATTTTTTTTTGAAAAAAATACTATGAAAATAGACAAAAAAACGAGAATTACTCACAAAAATTCAACAACACGATATTATACAAAATAATGACTGACATTAGGATAATTGTCAAATAATAAACGACAACCTTGCTGAAAACGGCACAATGTGGCCAACATAGCGATATAAAATTCGGTTTAAACTAATTTTTGCAGCTTTAATCTAAATAAAATAACGCTCTCTAAAGTAAAATGAAGAGCTGTTCGGTACCTTAAATTATACAACAAATTTAAACATTTTTCCTAAAATTTCATTTAGTCAGGTTTATAGACTTTAGTGTCCAATGTCGATATGACTGATGACGTGCATCGGAAAATGTTTTGTTTAGTCCTAACTCTGCATATAATGATATACAGCGTGAACATATCAAGAAATCTTCACTCTTTTTAACACAAACTTCGAGACCATAAGACGTATTTTAATTATGGTACTAAAATAAGTTTATATTACCTGATATCATCGAAGCCATAAAGTGAAGAAATATACCATCTTGAAATTTCATGGCTAACAACTGTTGCTTCGACTGGGAATAAGTGGCTAATTGGGCTGCGTTAACGACCTAAAACACATATATCTTTTTATTGTAGTTCCATTATATTTATTGATTATTAAATCATCTGAACAACTTAACGTTTTTGCAAAAATTTAACGTCTCTCGTTTGGTATTTTTTCAGCTTTTATTTTAGTCAATTATATTGTTAACAGTTATATTTACAAATAGTTAAGTATATGGCTGATTCTCTCCAATCTACTGTATGTCCCCAGTTTGTCTTTTCAAGAGGAAAATAATATAATTTCGATTTTATTCTTTGATAGATTATTATTATTAATTTTTATTTTAAATCGTATTTTTATGCTCTTGTAATATCACATTTTCCGATAACTATTATCGCCCTTTCCGTAGCATTGAAACAAATAAATTTTGTGCTTTTTTAACATTTTAAAACAGCAAAAAATATAACGGTAATTAAACTGTTATCAATAACAATCTATCAAAGAATGAAAACTGATGAAAACGAACTTATACAGGGTGAGTTTCCTACGATGTTCTCTATGGGTATCTCGGAAACTACTGGAGATAGAGAGTCGGTTAAATGGGGAAAGAATTGCAGTTTTATGCGGTCATAAATATGCGCCTTTCAGATTTTTGAAAAAGTTCATGGCCTACTAGAAATTTAAAAAGAACAAATTTCGGCTATTTTAAAAATGGTCCATAATTCCATTATAATCTATTTTAGACAAAAAGTTTTCAGATAAAAGTTGCAGATAATCACATCCCTAATGAGTTTGAGTTCTCTGATTTTTTCTAAAGCCTATCATTTTTGATATATGACACAAACATATGTTTTTTTTAAATGGAAACTATAGTTGGCCATGACTTCATAAAAAGCGCCATTTTTTAAGCTTTTCAGCGATATAAGATATAATATGTTTTTTTTTGCGAAAAATTTCGAAATATAGCCAATTCTTATTTTTCTGGGCTAATTTCACTTAGTTGGCATAGGTTGGCATTCTTATTCGGTTTTGATTTATAACTTATAAAAAGACAGAATAATTTATTAAACGGTTCTTTACAATTTACATTACACAAACTGAAACTTAAAAAACTAATATCACTACATAAGTTACTTTAACAAATGTTCAAAAAAACCGCCATTGTTTTGAGTACATAAAATGCATCTTTTTAAAAATAAATTACAAGCTTTTCCCACAGAACGGTTGACTACGGCCGGTCGACTTTAATAAACTTCTCCCGTGCCACCTCTTCGACTGCCTCTCTTAGTTCATAAGTTCTTTTGTAACTCTTATTGTTAACCATATCGTCTAAAAAATCTAAAATGGATAGGTCAGGTGATCGAGGAAGCCCATGCAATTGGTCCACCTCTTCCTATCCCTCAGTTTGCATAATTATGATATAAATAAGTTTTAACATTTCTTTCATTATAAGTGTCATAATGAAAGTCATGTTGTCTTTTCTAAAAAAACGTAAGTAACGTTCACCGGTCAACGTATCCTCGAAAATGTATGTCCAAGAAAAGTTGAACCAATAATCCTACTCTTTTCTCCTGAAACAAACTTTTCTTTATTTGAAAAATTCATATTTACTATTTTTGTTTATTTTAATTTACTAAGTTTAGATGTGGCAGTTTCATATTTCTGAGAGCAAAGACGATTGAACTTGTTCCCATGGCTAACTAAGTGAAATTGTTTAAAAATTATGAGAATTGGCTATAACTCAGTAATTTTTCGAAAGAAACCTATTATAGCTTATATGGCTAAAAAGCTTAAAAAATGGCACTTTTTATGAAGTCATGGCCAACTACGGTTTTCATTTAAAAAAACATATGTTTGTGTCATATGTCAAAAATTACAAGCTTTAGAAAAATACGGGGACACAATCTCATTAAGGATGTGATTATCTACAACTTTTATCTGAAAACTTTTTGTCTAAAATAGATTGTAATGAAATTACGGACAATTTTTAAAATAGCCAGAATTTTTTTTTTTTCAAAATATCTAGTAAGCCACGAATTTTTTCAATAATCTGAAAGGCGCATGTTTATGACTCCACAAAACTGCAATTCTTTCCCCATTTAACCGACTCTCTATCTCCAGTAGTTTCCGAGATACCCATAGAGAACATCGTAGGAAACTCACCCTGTATAACCACAGAAACACGTTTTCATTTTTAGGACTTGCAAAAAAAAAGCTGAGCAAATTCGGCAAAGAAAATAAAGTCCTCCTACTGTAGGTGCAAGCCCACCAAGGTATATAAGGTAATGGAAAATAAATAAATGCCTTTATTGTCAAAAAATTTTAAAATTTGTAGACAAAAATAAAGTAAACAAACAAGAGAGAATACAAAACAAGTATACAAATTACATTGTCAGTTTTACTTAAAATAAACATTTATAAATGTTTACAATATCAAAGAATAAAAAAATAAAAATAAGATTCAAAAATATTTAGTAAGTTTATAGTAAATATACTAATAGCAAATATTAGACGAGAGTGTTTACAAGATCAAAGTCGATTATCAAAATATAAGTCATTTACGGCGAAGAAAGCCTTGTCTAGTAAATAATATTTTAATGCTTTGCGAAATGAAGAAAATAATGTTATGGATTTGATTTCAAATGGCAGGTGAATGTGCATTTTTTTCGAGTTGTATAGTATTGAACTTTTAACTAACTCTGTGCAGTGGAGTAGGTAGATAAAGATCATGCTCCGCGTTCCTGAGTGGATAAGTGTGAGATGGCCTTTCTTGAGAAGCTGATACATGCTTACGTATTAGGCAAACGGATTCAAATATAAATAAGGAAGGAATAGTTAATATTTTTAATTTTTTAAAAAAGTCCTGGCAATGACTTCCGCTCTCTTCTGGAGCTTGAAAATGCGGTCAAATTGAGTCGCACAACACGTACCCCAGAATGGAAGGGCATATCTGAGATGCGACTCAAAAAGTGCATAATAAACAGTTCTATCGACTGACAAGTTAAGCTCCTTAGAAACAGATGTTAATGCAAAACAGGCAGAGCTTAATTTTTTCGACAAAGCGTCGATATGCATGTCCCATTTCGGCCATTTCAGAGAATTGTCTACAACAAGCCCTAAGAATTTTACAGCTTTTACGACGTTAATGGTGGTATTGTTAAGTACAAAACGCTGCAGCGAGTTTGTATACGACAAAGCTTTAGTTTTAAAAATGTTGAGACTCAGGAGGTTCGTACCGCACCAAGATTTAATGGTAATTAAGTCATTTGATATAATCCTATGAAGTGCCGTGACGTCCTTGTTGCCCCAAGTGAAACTTGTGTCGTCCGCAAAAACACATATTTTACCACTGATGTTTATGTTAACAATGTCGTTAATAAAAAGAAGAAACAAAATAGGACCTAGTACTGAGCCTTGAGGTACTCCACATTCTATTGGCGTGCTAGAAGACAACGTGGTATCCACCCTCACAAGTTGACTTCTGTTGCTCAGATACGACTTAAACCATTCGAGAGATGTTCCCTTGAACCCATAGTGCTGCAGTTTATTAAAAAAATGAACGATCTAGCTAGTCACAAAACTAGTCCTTAGGCGTTTATATTAGAATCTAAATTATAAAAAAATCACCGGTTCTACATAAATATCTATCCTTCAAAAACGTCGCTCACCAAGAATCACCCTCTGTTTATTTGTAAACAAAAAACTTTATACAGAAATTACATTAAAATAATATCACTATTCACACCTACATATATTTTATGTTTTTCCAATCAATAAAACATGTTTTTATACTTTATGCCCTTCCTAATAGAATAAAAGAATGATTCCCGTAACATAAATGAAGAAAAGAACCAATATGTGACAGCACAAAATCGTAAAACTCGAATATTAGGAGGAATATCAGGTGAAATAGCACGGCTATATTTACTCGGTAAATATATTTTTGCCGACATTGAGCCGCAAACTACGATTTTACTGCTGTTTGCAAGAAAATAATAGTAAAAAGGCTTGTTACGCTTATACAGGGAAGGAAAAATAGCTAATGCATAATATTTCTAACAATGTCAATATTAGGCATGCATCAGTTCCATTTTAGCATGTTAAAATAACGAGTAGTTTATAGCATATATCAACGATCCTTGAGCTACTAAAAAGGGTTCCATTTTTATAAAACGGGTTTTCAGCAAAAAATATCACGTTAATCAAAGTTAATAATAATAAACTTCATCAAAAATGAAATCGAAATTATATTACCAGAGAAACAAAAACAAACGGGAACCATATTGTATACCTACAGGGTGGCGCACCTCATTCGCCTCGGTTGATTTTACGAAAACGGAAAGATGTAGAAACAAAAAATTTTATGGGTATATGTAGTGAGGCAATGTGCATAATTTAAAATTATTTTCAAATGTACAGGATGTGTCAGAACTAAGATCCATACCAAAGTTAATTTTTTTCTTATGGAACACCCGGTATTTTATTTCATTTTTGGATTCTTGGGCGTAAAATAAGACATTTATTATAAGGGTTTAATATGTTTAAATGCTTTGGTTTTTGAGATATTTAAATATGCATGCTATAATGAAAAAGTTTGTTAACACCCTGTACATTACTTTTCAGAGTTAATTCTTGTACTGACTTTGAAGCCAGAGAAATAAACTTTACTAAAAAATTGTATTGCTTCCTTAAATGTATACAGGGGTATCAAAAATTGCTGGTCAATTTTAAATATTTATTTTACATAAAAACTTCGTTATTTCAAATACACAAGTATATATTATTATATATACAAAAATAATTATAAATATTATATATTACTAATGTATTTTTTAAAATAGGTCGAAGCAGATTTAAATGCTCTTTCAAAATATATTAGGGTTTCCTATACCTATCTGGCTCAGATTTTGAATAAAAAGCGATTTTTCAATAAAATGGCAATCAAGATGGCTGGTGTCGCCATGGCAATTTGCTAGTGACAGTTAGTAGCTATTTTCAAATTCGACATTAGTTCATGGACTTTATTTAAATTTATAACTAAATTTTTTTTATTTAATTTACCTA